GTCTTAGACTTCACTTACTTGATCATTCATTCCTGTACGTCGAAATTCGAAGGAACTTACTAATCCTATTCTTACACTCAACTAAGCTCTACTCTATGTCATGGCCAAAGCGGGGGAATGGGAGTGGTGTACATCAAATTAACTAAATAATTTATATTCGTATTTAAAAAAAATATAATTATTTATTTACAACTTTTATTTATTCTACACTCAAGAGCTCGTGTACTTTACAAGTCTGACTCTGCACTGTTGTTATTAAAAATCGGCTGACGACGCCCCTGGCTATAAACGGAACATATTCCTGCTAGTATAACATATGAATAAATATTTTACAGATAGACGTGACTTTTCCAACCCTACACATTTGCATAATGATACGGTGCGACCCAAACCCAGATATGTATTAAGGGCTTGCTGACAAACATTGACGTCGGAGCATATGTAAATTTTGATGTTTATAAAGAGGGAACATTTTTTTTGTATCGAATAGACATCGAAACTACTGGTCGTATTTTTGAAATTCATTCACCTACGGGAAGCTTCATCATACGCAGGTAACGTAGCCATATTTTAAAAACACTAGAAATAATACTTATATATACATAGAATCAGCAATAAATCTGGATGAGCTTTTATTATATTGAAGTTTGATTAATTAATTCAGCAGATTGCAGTTTGTAAGGCGAACCACTAAGCCATTTCATAATTAAACCCTCCGCATGACCTAGTTGCATTGAACGAGAACGAGCTCTCGGTACTTGAACTGGATAAAAATGTGCGTGGATTTTTTTATTTAATGAATTACTTCTATGTCGGATGCTTATACAAACTGAAAGTTCTTAGAAAATCAAAAACTGATTACATTAGCCAGTTATTAGTTTTATTATATCTTTTCAAAATATTGTCCATTCACGTCAATACACCGCTGCATGCGATGGAACCACTGGGAAAAGCACTTTGCCCACTCGTCCTTAGGGGTCTCTTCAATGGCATCGCGATACGCAGCCACCGCTTCTTCAGCATTCATAAACCGCTTTCCTTTAAGTTTTTCTTTAATTTTTGGAAATAAATAAAAATCACAAGGCGCGAGGTCGGGGCTATACGGCGGGTGACCCAGTAATTCAACGTTTGATGTCGCCAAATAGTCGATCGTTCGCTTGGCGGTGTGCGACGAGGCGTTGTCGTGGTGAAGGAGGATCCTACTGCGAGGTCGTTTCTCTCGAACTTTTTCCAAGACAAGTGGCAAACAATTGGTAGTGTACCATTCTGCAGAAACTGTTTTTTGATCCTCTAACACAATTGTTGCAAAATGACCTATCCTTCCAAAGAACGAGGCCACCATTTTTTTTCCCGCACTTCGATCTCTCTTCACTTTAGTTGGCAACTCCTCGAAAGGAAACACCCACTGAGCAGATTGTCTTTTGGTTTTAGGATCATAACAGTAAATCCAGCTTTCGTCACCTGTTAGTATGTCGAACACAGCATTTGAGTCACCTCCGTTAAATCTTTCAATCATTTTACGACACCAATCCACACGATGGAGTTTTTGAGCCTCAGTCAAATTATGAGGTATCCACCGGGCGCAAAGCTTCCTGACCGCTAAATGTTCGTGGAGGATTTTGTGCACTTGACTCATACCGATGCCTAAGCTTGTCCGAATCTGTTGATAGGTCACTCTTTTGTCAGTCTCTATCATACGCCGCACAACACAGATGTTATCTTCAGTCGTCGCCGTAGAAGGCCGTCCCTCACGTAAATCATCAGTGAGATTAGTGCGACCACGTTTAAACTCATTAAACCAGTTGTAAACAGTCGCACGAGATGGGGCTTCATCGTGAAAGGCCAATCGTAGTCTATCATAACTTTCTTGTTGACTTAAATGACATCGAAAGTCATAAAAAATCATTGCACGAAAATTTTCTCGTGTTAAATTCATGATGACGTGACACAGACAATTTTCAATTTGCCGCCAAATCGTAAAACAAATGACAAATGAATGAAATATATACTCAGTAATATTGGCAAAGAGTTATATTTTCAAATTTTAGAATTATTTTTTTATTATATTGTTTTAAGTGGCCAGTTCTAAGAACTTTCATATATATATATATATATATATATTCACTAGGGAACGCTATTCTGAAATACACTAAAACTTGATTTAATACGATCACGTTTAAGGCTGTTTCACTTTTAACACGCAATTTATTGTCAACCTCTACGACTTGAAGCATGTTTTACGCTTAATGCGATTCCTTATCACGTTTAATATTCCTTCTGTATCTCGGCACGAGAAGCAATTAAGCCTGATATCATACAAATTTTTAGAATTATCAAAAACAACACCCACGGTTTCAAGGCAATGTCTTGGATATTATTTCACTTCTGATTATGATTGTTGTGCTTAATACTTTTGGTAAAATTGTATTAGTTCTCCTCTTAGGAGGCCTAGTTGATAGTGATAAGGTTGACATCGATTTTATCAGGCATTCAGACATTATATGATCAGTAAATGATTTAGTGTTCTGTAGTTTCTTTGGGTGAAGACGCACTACAAAAGTAAATATTTAAAATAATCGAAATCTAAGTATCATATTTGATAAATTTTGCATTCACAATGCTATCGGACAGTACCGAATTAAGACTCAGCGGGGGACCCTCGCAATTATCTGACTTGAGTTTTATGTGTCAGTTTAGTTATAATTACAAGTGTGCAGAAGTTTAAAAACGAATAATCTTAGTTTATTTTATTCTTGCATGTTTTAAAACTGACTCGAAAAATTAATTTTCGTATTAGCAGGTTCCCAACTACACGTGCACGGGGTCCCCATACGAGCGGGGCCCGTAATAATTTCTACTTTTGCTACGTGACTAATCCGGCCCTGTGTATTGATAAATATCTTTAATGAAAAGTTTTCATTACTAACCATTTTCATTTAAGGTTATAGCCCCGATGGATATGTACAATAGTAAATTATATCACTGAATATGTTGTACATGGTTTACGCACAGTGTACCTACCAATCCCGACCGTAATCGAACGTAAAATTAAAAATAATCTATCCTTTTTAAAATGCTCAATTTCTTCATAAGTTCGGTCATCGTCGAAATTAATTAGGTAAGTACCAATTAGTTTAAAGTCTTTTTATTATAACACGGCTAGCGTTTTACCCATTCTTGACGTAGATTAAAAATTATTGTGTTACTGTATTTAAATTTACAGCAAATGAAAGCTAAATGTAAACCCATCTGTGCCCCTTAAACCCTTTATAAACCTATTTCAGGTAAAACTTCGTTTAATTATCTTTTTTTTTCTTTCGTATGTCAAAAAAATAAAGAAACAAAATAAATAACAATACGTTTGTAAGATTTATGTACGAATAAAACAGTTGGCTATATAACTTTGAATTAGAAAACAAATCACGTCTACCTACTTTACAATTTCAGACACCTTAGAGTAATATTACAGAGTAATATTCTGCACTAGAATTTTATTTAAAAGAGATCCCTATTTCGGGCTACTTGTGTCTCCGCATTCATGAGATTACAGTGAATGTTCGAGTTTTACGAAGAGGCATTATGTTTTGCTATGAAATCCTTGTGAAAATGTATCACGCCATTATATTGCGTTTGGGGCAAAAGGTCCCACTTCAATTATATGTTCCCTCCTAATATTATATTCCACTTCAAATGTGAAGATTTTTTCGACGTAGTAACTGTCCAAATAGCAAAATACTTTACTAGTTAGTGTAATTGTTAGATCCTTAAAAGTGTAATTTGCGAAAGGTCATAGACAATATTTTTCATCTAACTCCGCCGAAGGACTGTGTAGTACCTAATATCTGATGGGTCACAAAATTAACCCTCCTTTAAATATAGCCACGAGGGTCGTCAGAATACCTATGTGAAAACGGCCAGTTAATTTTATCATAGCAATGAAGCGCTTCAATAATAAACCCTGGGGTTAATTTCCCGAGATAGTTTTATTAATATTGTAGTTTATTTTTAATTCAAATCATTTATTTATTCTGTTAAATATCTATAACTAGATTCGGTGACTACAAGCTATGTCGGCAGTGTATCAAAAGAATTTTCTTTCTTATTTATTTATTTATTAACACTTCATTGAACAACACACTATAGATATAAATAGAACAATACAAACATGAAAATCCTAATTGTACAATAGGTGGCCATATCGCTTAACAGCGATTTCTTCCAGGCAACCTAAATTGTGAGAAGAAATCATATGCCCAGTATTAAATAAGCGAGGTTGAGGTGTGCACATTACAAAATTAAAATTATTTATTTGAGTGGAAGTGTACTAAACTTTAACAATTATATAGTTGTATCGTACATAATTATAATAATAAATATATAATACATAAATGAAAATATATCAAAATAACAATAAATTAATAAGACGCGAGGACCACTAACATCAGTAATTAAATTATCAATGATTCGATACATCAGACAAGAAGTGCTTATCAACTAGGGTCTTGAAAGACACTAACGTTTGAGCCCGTCTAATGTTTTAAGGCAAAGAATTCCATAACCGTATAGCTTGTAAGACAAAAGATTAGCTATATTTCATATTGCTTATAATTCATAAAGATTTAATACAATCTTTATGAATAAAAATGTTTCGTTGAATATAATCGAAACTCATTCAATTACGTGAAGCTACATCATACGCAGGTGATATAATGCAATAATATTAATTATTCGCTTAAAGCATGCTTCATCACAACATAGCATAAACAAAGTCGCTTTTTTTGTCCCTATGTATGCTTAAATCTTTAAAACTACGCAACGGATTTTTTTCATAGATAGGGTGATTCAAAAGGGAGGTTTCTGTGTACAATACAAAACCACGCAGGCGAAGCCACTGGCGGAAAGCTAGTAAAATATAATTGTAAAAGATACAGATAATAATATACTTAGGTCTAGAACTAATCTAGAAATCTGGTGATATAAATTATGGTTTTGTTTCAGATATGCTCCAGTCGTTATTACAACCAAGAGATAATCAGCGGTGTAAGTATGAACAATGGAATGCGTACAGTAAAATCGAAATATAGGATAATATTCCCAGAGAATATTATGGGCACTTCTATCGCAATGTGTTGGTACAAAGAAAATTGAATAAAACTTCTCGGTTGTAATTCCTTTGATATGTCTACGTGAAAATAGCGATACAAATAAAGTCACTATTACTTGATTAAAAGTAAAGCAACTTAAATGGTACTTACACGATCATGCGGCACGAGATGCATTACGTATTGTCATGCATGCATAACTACAGGTTAAAAAAAGGAATTCTATTTAGTCCGTCAGCCAGATAATAGAAAAATATTAGATACGTATTTTTTTTACTTCAATTTAACAAGAAATAGTTAAGATAGCAGCCATTAGAGTGAGGGGTGGGAAGGCTCGATACGTTACAGTTTTGTAGTAAATGTACAAAAGCGTGAAGCCATGTGATATTTTGACTCAATGTATAACTGTAATTTAACTGTACTTTAACAAAATATAAAAATAAGTGTTTAATATTTTTAACAATCTACCTGACGGACAAATAATCAAAAATTACTCGCCATCCCTATTGTATTTACTTATACGAATGCCATGCAAATTTGTCGTGCATGCATGACAGCTCGTGACGCATGGCATGCCGCATGGTCTTGCTTCTGGATGATAGATTAACCAATAGAACATCTCGTTTTGATGCTCAATACAAAAAGATATTTACTGTGTTAACAATGTCTTTGTAAACTTTGTAAAATATAACTGTAAATAGCATTATCAAAACCACATACATATTACAATTATTTCCCTGCCGTTATATCATATCTATAAATTCCTTAATAGAAAATATTGGATTGTATTATATTTCGTAAAAAGACTCGAATTTGTTTTAAAAAACTTGGCTATTTCGTAGTTGTTCGTGACACAAAATCGTCTTCTGCCATGATTTTACGTAGTACTCGTCTTACAATGCAATTTCAGGTCATCCGACGGGCTATTTTCAATGAAAACTCATTGCGAAAACTATACAGAATGTTGACGTTACAGATAATGCATCATTGAGCTCATGTCGAGATGGGATGTAATGTTATCTTATTTCTATTTCGTTTGAGAGGCATTGTTGCCATTTCCCAAAATGATAACAACTTAGACAACATTTTTAATGATCAAAACACAATTTACATGTGGAATAAAGGAAAAAAGGGACCGAAACCCACAGGGACGCGATTTTATATTTGTAATGTTTCCTATCAAAAAGATTCATTTATAAATTTATCCAGCAACATCGTCAAACGCGTATCACTTACATCGATTTCTTTAATATCGGATTGAATCAATATGCACTTACAGTGGCGTAGCTACCAAGGGGCTAGGCGGGGCAGTGCCCCGGGGCCCTCAAGCTCAGGGGACCCTCAAATCTTTACCAGAAAAGCTCAATCGACCTTAACTTTTGAAAATTTCTACCATTTTCAAAATAAATATGACAGGTGACAACTCGAGTTTAATCATGACAACTCAATTGTGAGAAATTCCAAAGTTATAAAAAGGGAATTCCCCTAATTTATTTGTGTGGGTTGACAGTGTTATTAATGTTTTCATCAATTTGTCGGATATCAATATCTGCATATTATTATTTATCGATATGCGTTTTTGTGATTCGCGATTGTGAACATCGAGTCAAGATTTTTTTCGAGATTTCGTTGCGCTTTCATTTTACTTGTAAAATAAATTAGAAAACTAATATTATGGAGAAAAAAAGAAACCCGGTGGTGCATTTAAATGCAAACAACGCCAAGAAAGAGAATAAAGTAAACAAAAATTGCCCAAAATTGACAAGTTTTTTAGTCAGCCTTCTGCAAGTACTTCTGGACAAAATATTTCTATTGATAATTATTGTAAATAGCTTGCATGGTGATAGGTTGAATAACAGTAAGCTGGTGCAACGTATATATGTATGTATAATAGACCCTTGAAACTTTTCTATTTCGTTTTATTGCCGAATACCTACACCAAGTATAAAAATAATTGTAATTTATGTTGGTAGTGTTTAATAGTTTATTACCTGCCCATGCACGAAAAAGAGCTGATGATAAAGTTGCTTAGCATTTTTAAAGTATTTGTATATTTAATGATTTTACTTCAAAAAACCTTACCAGTTTTGATAGCAGTGGGCCCCATTTATTATTTGCCCCAGGGCCCTAGGTTACCTAGCTACGCCACTGTGCACTTAACTTTTGGTTGAATGCAAAGGTTGAAGGCATTTGACCTGTCGTATTGAACGTATACACATTATTGTACTGTGTGACTACACTTGGTGATATCGACTGTCTTAACATTGTATTAATTGCATTGTCATTAATTATTGAACGTTGAGTGCTTTTAATTTAGCACGACATATTAGACATATACACTGTATCTAACAACAATATATACAGGACAGTATAATATTAAATATTAATAAAATATAATAAATAATAAATATAAATAATAAAAATAAATAATAAATATAATAAAATATAATAATATTAAACGTGGATTTTTTTTCATAGATAGGGTGATTCAAAAGTATATACAGGACAGTATAATATTAAACGTGTACACTGTATCTTACAATACAATGTTGAGCGTAGAGTGACTTTGATTCTCCTTACTATTCTTCTGTTGGGGATGGCACACGAGATCCGACTCTCCCTACCTTTGGATGCCATATCCTTTCGTCCCTACCCTGTCAAGTTCGTTTAATGTAAGTTGACATCAACAGCCAAAATGATCGGCGCGATGCCTGCAGTGGCGGTGCGCCATGAGCGTCGGCGGGCTGAGAAGCGGAGCACGGGTCGGCGGCCGTCGCAGCTGCCCCTACAGCTGGGCAGGCCTCCGGACGCCGACGCGACTCCGTCACCGGACCAACACCGGCTCAGGAACGAGCTGTACGTCTGCGGCAAGGTCAGCGTAGGTTTCGCTTTTGTCATTCATTAATATAGATGTCATAAGAGCACTACTAGAATAACCTTCATCACTGTTTTCATTTGGTTAATGTTGTTGTGTAAGCTTTATTATGTGTGTTACGTTATTATTTGTAGATAATTATTCGAATGTAAATTTAAAAGTACTATTATTAATTGCTTGCTTATCTGATATGTGTTGTTTTTAAGCCGTTTCTCCGTTTTTCATACGAAATCTATACTAATACAATAAAGAGGAAAGATTTGATTGTTTGTTTGTTTGCATCGAATAGACTACTGGACCAGTTTTAAAAATTTCTTCACCTACGGGTAGCTACATCATACGGGATTGACATAGGCTATATTTACGCATGCGAAGTCGCAGGAAAACAACTAGTTATAAAAAAAATTGACAACAATACATATATTGCTCAAAATTCCAAAATAAGTAGCTATTATTGAAATTTGTAACAACTAAGGCACCATAACACCCAAAACCGAGACAATATAGGAGAGACCATTTTTAATATTGACCCGATCGGGAATCGTAGCCAGGACTATAGGGTAGCGACTCTTTACAAACGGCATAAGAGCCACTCGACTACATTGATCATCAAAAGGATTGTTCATATGAGTTACCGAATAACTTTTCCTCTTTCCGATTATATTTTCTAACTAATATCATAAAGGCGATAGCTTATAAGCTTGGATGTTTGGATTTCCCTAGGGATAGAAATATTTTCAAGGGTGCCTATTTTTGTAAAAGCTGCTTAAACGGTAAGAGAAAAAATGCTTTCTAAAGAAAAGTTGTAGAGCTTTAAATTATCTATAAATACTAATAACACGCAGACGAAGTTGCGGTTAAAATCAATGCAGAATTTTTAAGATAATCATGATACTTATTCGAATACTGGTACCCATAGTACGAGTGTTAGAATATCTGTGCTAATATGCATACCAGATCACACTTACCACTTTGGACAGTACATTTAATGTTATATTATGAAAAGCTATTTATAAAATAACATGGATTGGCTAGATAAATCAGAGGTTATCGCTTAAAAAGCTTTTTTTGTTAGCTTCTCTTATCATATTTTTTTTCTATAATTAATGAAAATCAAGACAAAAAGCCGAAGAAGAACTGAAGATATAAAGGTTTCCCTGGTCTTACTTTCGATTTAGTTTAATTATAAGGTTCTGGGCGCAAACAGTCACACAGATTGTAATATTTTAATAAAAATGCGAAAATTTGTAAGCATTACAAGCTTTTGCCATCTATGTATTGTGGCCCTCAATTCTATCTGCTTGCTCAAACGTATTTGGCTTTTTATACATAATGATCATTATTTTAATACTAAATTTATTGAGACTGTAAATCAATAATATCTTCAATCTTCTATCAAAAAATACTTATACAGAATACATAGTATTCTCAAGAGATCAAATCTTCTAAGTATAAAATATGACGGACGGTGCGTGTATTTCAGGTGGCAGCCTTACACGCTGTGGTGGGGTCGCTGCTACTGGGTATAGTGGTGCTGGTGGTGGGATTGGTGCAGTTATCACCGGGAGCTGAAGCGGCTCAACATCGGTATTATCTGATGGGAGCTGGTGCGGCACTGGTGGGAGCAGGCGTGTTAGGCGCCGTGTTGAGGTAAGAAAGTACCAGGAGGTCATAAATTAAACAGAGATTGATAGAAATAATTACGAGTAATTTTTACAAGATGGCAACAGCTGTAGTTTCGTGATACTGTCATTAAATTAAATGTCGCTAGAAATTTGCTATAATTGTGGCCTGTTTAAAATACTTTATCGGCAAAATTATTTTCGACCGTCAAAATGGCTAACGGACAATAAATTGCTAACCAATATGCTGTAATTATTACAAAAACTTGTTTCACAGCGTTTTTTTTTTACTTGTTTTATAGCATTTGAGTCTTATAATTCTTATAAAATTATATTTAGTTATGCATACGGATGTTAAAATTATATGCATGGTAAAATTATTATTTAGCCTTTATCTGATGATTAGGGGATCAGTATAAGTGGGTGTAGATTTAACTTTTAAAGGTCAAAATCGAGAGAAGCAAATGTATTATAAACACACAGATCAGAAAAGTACTTATTTATCTTCTAATAACAAAACACCCACACATTATGTTTGTTTGCAGAGGTCTTAATGGTATTCTGTATTTTTAGGAGAAAAAAGACTTTATGGGTATTTATTTTTTAATAGAATTTAACAAAAAATTTGAAGGCTCTTAGTAAAAGAATGCAAAGATATTATTATATCTACTTAGTTTTATCTATGAAAGAAAAATGCCTCAACAGCAAATAATACATTTAGCTTTTGAAGCAGAGCAGACCTTTACACCCGAGCGATTCTACGGGCCTTAACTGGGCACTGCAAACTAAACAGACACCAATTTCACATGAAATTAGGTGACTGACATATGTAGGTAGAGTAAATAGGAGCGTGAAACACGAGAACACCTCCTGTGTGAACGTGGACCGTTAATCCACAAACGAAGCATCCATCTAGTCCAACACATTACCAGCTAAAATGATATTAAAGCTCTGAAAGCCAGGAACATCATTAACTTCTAGGCTAAAGCTACTATGACTTTGGCGGCGAGTCATAAAAAATCTTATAGGTCACAGTGACTACAGTTCTATTGGGAACTGAATAGCCCCTTAAACCTAAATAATTCTAAATAGCAGAATTAAAACCCACGCGACTTGTAGGTAGACCATTATACAAGTTGTTAATAACACCTGAAAGTAACCGATCATGGAATAGTTCATCTGAAATAAAATACAAAATCTCTAAATTATTCTTTATTGAAATTTTAAGAAGATTGCTGTTCCATATTAGGTATACATTCCACATACTCTCCTCTCATCATCATCATCCTAGTAATGTCTCTACTGCTGGGTCACAGGCCTTCCATAGGGATGGGTAGGGATAGGGTTAATGAGTATGACCCACCATACGACTGTAAGTGCTGCCGGGATTAACGTATGAACGTGCCTTCCGGAGCACGGAAGAGCTAGAGATAGAAAATTTTCTGTCACCCATCCTATGACTAGGAGCAAATATTACTCCCGTAGAATTCAGTACTAGGTTAACCTTTGCTAAGTCTCTGTCTAATAATATGAATTTTTATTAATACTTAGTGCAGTCTCAGCGTCAATTTACTCCAACGCTAAACCTCGTTTAATAACACCGTATATATGCTAAATTTAATTTGTTTATTTGCAAACACGCCTCAAATGAACTTTCGTTGAAATTGGTACGAGTTTACTTAGCAAATGGAGTTAATAAGTCAACGGACACACCCGTTTAATACCTCTAAACAGTGTTTTTTTATGTGTCTCGGGTGGAAAAAGATTAGGGTAAAGTAATTTTCGAACTGCAGGTAGTAATACTAAATTAAAAGTTAAAATATGACTCTTAAAATTGAATTGTGGTCGACACTACAAATTCTAGAAAAAGGAAAATCATCTTCGTTACCTTTAATATCGCCGCCCCTGGGGCTCAGGACTTCCCAATGGATGGAAACGAATCAAATCGAATAGGGAGAAAATTGAAATTGATTAAATAATTTAAGAAAGATTGGTAAATTATTTGAAGATACACGAGCTTCTTGTTCTGTATCCGAAGAGGTACTGAATGATAAGAACAGAGTTCCATATATTTAAAACTTTAAAAATACCGATCTAGTGCGTGTAGTAGTACACTACTACTGCGGTTTTATACATAAAACCGCACCATAATACATAATTTATAAAAATTTCAACAGTGTAACTACTGCGGTTCAAATACATCCTGGTGACAGAACGACTGTGAAGTCTTAATACTCATTATAGTGTCATGTTATCCTTTACATACGGAACCCTAATATACGCGGACACTTACTCTCTGCTGACCCACACTACCTATGGTGTGGTAATTTTAAGCTCGTAAGGTAAATACCTACTCGTTCTTAAACTATACTCACCCACCTACCCAACAAAAATCTATCCTTTATTATCTTTATTTCTTGGTACGACATGCTTACTCTTTTTGAGGTTAATATTTACCCAAAAAGAGCAAATTGGGTGGCCGGGGATAAAGATAAACACTTGGAATTATGAGTAAATCGATCATTGTATAGTTAAATGTGAATTCTAATATCGGCAATTCGCAGAAAGTAGTTTTTTTTTTAATTAAAAACATATTAAAAGCCGCTAATCTCATTACCAGTCGTGTCCCTATTCCCAGATTTGAAAAGCTTATTTCTTAAAATGCCACCAAACATATCCAAAGTACTTTTATACTTTGTCCGTGCACTTTTCTCTCATTACCGTTCCACGATATGTTTAGCAATTTCTTTAATAATTACGAATCTTTGGTTCTCCCATTGAAAAAATTAAGTGGTTTGCGAAATGACTAATTACCAATCTTATCAAAAAGGTACTCATATCTCTTGTATTTAAATACTTGTTGTATTTAGCGTAAGTAGTATTATTTTGCATACATACTGCATACTGAATACCATAACAAGTGTATATCTACTAAAAAGAACAACATATATAGGTAATTAGGCATGTCGTTAAACCTCATTACCATTGATTACCGTTCCCCTTAATAGGAATGGTCATCAATTAAGCGAAGCGATAGAAGGTTAGTATTATGATTAAATATACATTACGTCAGCTTTTTTCAGTCCACTAGTGAACGAAGACCTCCCTTAAGGTACGCCGAAAGACACTATCTCCATATATCTTCTTCCGGTCTCTGCCGGCCACCTTCACCAGGTCATGATCCATCTTATCGACCGACGTCTCGTACTCGATTAGCCGTGAGACTTGATAGGATGCTCTGATTAAATACAAGCTCTTATATCATTAAATACTATATCTCATAGTTTCCAGCTTTTAGCTACGGGATGTGTCTTAGTTGGTGGATTTATACTTGTTCTAAGTAGTGAGGACTTTACAGTGAATAGGAAGTGAAAAGACTTGCGAGGTACATGGGAGAGCGTCAAGGCTGGTCTCTTCATAGTGGATAGAAAGGTTGCGGGGTCGCGTTTTAAGCCATCTCTTCTCTCTGTAAGATAAGATGTAGATATGTAAAGAACAGTTCGGGTGATAAGAAGCACCCCTGCATTACTCGACTTCAACTAACTAGTTAGAGGAGTCAGAATATCGTTAAGGAGGTAAATAATCTGGTGAATAGGTGACAGTTTCCCAGATTACATACTCCATGCCGTAGGAATTGAATGAAACCTAAATATGAACTGGTATTTTTAATTCATACATTCGATATTGAGTTTGGTAATTTTCAAGAAACGTGCCCACCATGATTTAATTTGCCAATTTAATAAGATTGCTATTCTGAACTAGAATTACGTTGGATGGAATGGAAACAATGTTAAAAAAAGTGTGATGAATTTGGTTTTGATAAATAACCGACTCCGAAACACTTTAATGGATACAAAAGTCTATACGGGAGGAGAGAGTAATGAGTATTCGGGATTTTTTCAAGAAATAGAGACATATCTCTTTCTTAAGTAATTAGATAAAGAGGAAGAGAACATAAAGTTAAAGGTATTATTATAAGGAGTAAGTCCTTACCTGACCTTGAGCCTTTCCGACTAGGATGAAAATGCGGGCATGGAAATTTTCAAAAAGTCTTATATTTTCTATATATGATAATAAATGTACCTAGTTGATAACTACTAGAGCGAGGACTGTATAATGAAATGCTAAATAAAATGAATTAAATAATATAATATTACTACATAAGTTTACAAGTTTATAAGTCGGTTACAGAACAATAATTTTAAGCTACTGATGACAAAATCAAAGAATATACTAAAAGTCAAAAAACTATATAAAAGGAACATGTCATAAAAACTTCTTAAATATGTACACTATGCCAACTGCCAGCTAGTTTCTAACATCCCCGCCCCCAGTGGAACACTAACATTCGTTGGAAAGTGGCTGGCAGTCAGCGCTTATAGGTATAAGCTTCCGGATTGGGCGGCGCAAGGTACCCCCTTTAGTAAATATATCGGCAACGCGCACAATTCCGTCAGCTCCTCTAAATATTCTAGTGACTCTTCCCAGTGGCCACAAGCCCCTCGGCAGGGAAGAGTCCGCGATAAGCACGACGTCCCCCTCTGAAATCGTCAGTGAGCTGCTGCGTCGTCCTCTCGGAGTCAGTGTAGGCAGGTACTCTCGAAGCCATCGTGACCAAAAGTGATCCGCCAAGCGAAGTGTGTGCCGCCAGTCACATCGCCCTATCAAATCCGAATCCCCGAGTGAATGAGTCCATGGGTTGGTGGACGAAGACCCAAGAATAAAGTGAAAAGGCGTTAAAGCTTCCGGGGCCTGCGGCGAGGCTGATATATAGGTCAGGGGTCTGGAGTTTACTATTCCCTCGACTTCGGCTAGCAAGGTGGTTAAAATTTCTTCTTTGGGAGCCTTTGTTTTCAATATGTATCTTAATGCGGTCTTTACTGTTCGGACAAGGCGCTCCCAGGCTCCTCCCATGAAGGGCGACGCAGGGGGAATGAACCGCCATTCGATCTTGTGGTTTGTGGCAAAATCGTGGACGTTGTCGCCGTTTAACGCTCTCAGTATCCGGTTAGCACCGACGAAGTTGGT